TGATTATTTTTGCCTTGGCCATAATCTCATTAGAAATCTGAACTAGCAGAAGTGCGCAATATATCTGGCTCAGAGTCATACAACTTTACAGAGACACAAGTTCAAAGCAAATAACCTGCAATGACATAGCCTCAAAAACCAGAGAACTACCCCCAATCAAGTATGATCACTAGCATCATCAACATAGATAGTCTCCTGCTTGAACAGGCACCAAATACGCTCCTACCTCCGCCGTTTTCTCTGTTTTCTTGACTTATCCTCCTTTCGTTTAGCGGTAGGGCCGCTTGGTTGCTTAACCACTGCCTTGTTAGGCGGAGAGACTTCGAGCTTGGCCTGTCCCCTCACAGTGGCAAGCTGCTACTTTTGGTTTTTCAATCCTCTTCGGACTTTTGGTTCTGCATCGAGGTGGCCAACTGTAAGCTCAACTTCTGCCATGAAATGCCCGCACCAAAATCTCTTGCCTTGGTCAAGAGGGCATCTACAGAGGCCCCGGCAGCCTCGGCCTTCTGTTGGGCTTCTGAAGCTAGACCAGCAGCCCTCGCTTCTTCCTTGGACAACTTCTCCACTTCTTCTTCCAGCTTCTTTGTCTGCTTCTGCGGCTTCGCGGGCTCTTTCAGCAGCCACTATTGCCTCTTCCTCTGCTTTGGCCTTTTTAACTGCTTCTGCATAGGCTTCCCTTCTTCCATCCACGGGGATTGTCCTGTAAACAAACTCACAATTCAGTCTTGCATATCCGCTTAGTGTTTTGCAGCCGTATAGATTCTTCTACTTATATTCTATGTAATTAAATGAAGGACCAGAGTGCCACTTTCAGATATTTGCTCGTAGTTCTCCAATGAGAGAAGATAATTAAGCATTACATGATTGCATCGTTCCAGGACAAAGCAAATTAAATCGAGAAGTTTCTTCATGTCATTTATTCAAAGACAAGCAAACATTGATAGATCATTGCCGAGTTTGGGTTTTAAATTTGACCTCAGTTGACTCATAAATGATTTTATAGTCATCACTGGCAGGCAACAAACATGATACGGCGCTTACCTGAAGAGTTCATCTACGCGCTTCAATGGGGCTTCTGGATCCGTGCACACTTCCACAACCTATTTGTAAAAGGCAAACAAAATTTGCCAAAAAGTAAATTAGTCACATCCAGCTTGGATCTATTCCGTTTCTCTTATCTCTGGTAATGATGCGCAAATGTCCATGTGCAACAATCGGTACCTTGTTTTCTGCTATTTCTGTGTTTGAGAAAACATCCGCCACTAGCGATGCTATCTTGGACTTGGCAACCTGATCATCATCATTTTCTACCAAGTTTTAGCTACAAAGATGGAAACATGGATATTAAGCGAGAAAAGAAAAAGAAAGAAGACAACCTAAAAAGGGAGACAACATATATATTAGACATTATCTCATACATTACATTACTTTATAGTCGTTTCTCCGGCGCTTCCTTCACCTGAGACGACCACATTATAGGAACTCTCCGGCGCAAAATCATCGGTTAAACTTGTCTTGATAAAGGTATAGCTGACGTCTGTCTCAATCACTTTCTGCAAGAACTCTGGTATGCTCAAGGGCTGAGACCGTGAGAACAGGTTGTTGAAGAATGACGAGATGCCATCCAGTACATTGTAAGTTGAGGCGCCGGAAGTGTTCCCGTCGTAGATAATAGCCACGTGGCTGACGCCGGCCAGTTGGGCGGCTTGGACTACTTGTACGGCGTCCGATGTGGAGACCTCCGAAGTTGGACCATTCTCTGCGGGACCAATTGTGACAACTACCTTGCTAGCATTGCCTATTGCTTTGGCTATTGATTCGGCATCTTCGAAGCTCGATTGTACTGCATTGAGGCGCTTTGATTCTTCCTTTGATATGATCTGCGATGATGACACAGTAGGAACTGACACATAACTCAGTACATCTTCGCATATTAAGGTTTTTATTCAAATGTCAATTAGCTTCGATGTTATATAACAGCCATGATTTCATTCTGCTTGCCCAATGAATTAACACGCACATCAAAAAGGGGAAATTTCCAATGGTTATACGTCATTCACAAGCATAAGAAAGGAAGAAAATAGTCTAATGCAGGATGAGTTTGCGAGCGACAATTGTGAGCTTGAGTTGATTTAATCAGATTACAGGAATTAGAAATTTAAAACTATGTGCTGAGGTGGGATTGGATGAAGCTGACCTTATATTCAGCAGCAAGACGAGCCAATTCTTGAGCAGAACCAAGTTCGGGGACACCGGCTCTGACATTGAAACCTTGCCTAAGCAGTGTCTGTGAAATGCGAATACCGGCCTGCCCTGTCGCGCCGGCAACAAACACTGTAGCAGGGTCCTTGCGCTTGGGGTTGCCGAATGACAAACCCGGCGAAGTGGGGTTACTGGGAAGTGGGATCAAAGATGTCACATCAGGTAACTTGCCAAAGCTAAAACGAAAAGGGTTGGAATTGGCGGGGGTCTCGGGCTGTGCTCCTCCTTCAGAAGAAGGATCGTCTCGGGGTTTGCCCAGCCGAAGGGGAGGGAAGGATCCGGACTTCTTGGCAATGACTCTGAGCCTTGGATTCCTGGGGTTCGGTCTCGAATGGGGCGTGGTGGTGAAGAGAGAGGAATTGGAAGTGAGGGTGGGAGCCATGGGCTGATAGAGAGAATTCCCAGACGACCCTCGCGCTCAGTTGGGGTAATATCTCTCATGTCGATCGCGCACGACATGGCTCGGCCTTTTTGTGAGCTAAATTTTGTTGGCGGGGTTATGTGAATTATCTTGAAGGAAGAGGCAATAGAAATCTGGCGAATAAGAGGGAGCCACGTAGATGGGGTTTATCCAGTGCGCAATTATCCAACACCAAGCGTTCTGCTTCTTAATGTTACTGAGAATGACATGCCCTGCTCGCACTTATACAGTTGAATGTTTCATCATCCGTTAATGAGTTGCTAAGGTCCATGTTTTCCTCCAAGATTATCTCTCTTTTTTTCGCAAACAAATAGCTGAGGCCAACGAGAAGAGAGAGAAATTTTTTTCTCTGTTTTTTTTTCTTTCTGGGAGGCGGAAGGAGAATAACTAATAAGAATTACATCTTGAATTTTGTTAGCCAAACTTGATTTGCTTTTACAGTCACTGACCAGTATTGACGAAGACATCATAAAAATCAAACGTGTATAGAGGAACTTGGTGATGAACTGAATCATGAAGGGGCAGAGGCTTTTGAATCCGTCATGGCAATCTGGGTATAGTCTAGTGCAGGTTCGCCGGGACAGGAATCAATGGATCAGTGAAGATACATGTGCTTCTTAGTGAAAGCGGCAGATGCAGGTAAACACAGAGGAAAGTGTTACAGTATGCAGCAGCCGCGAGTAAAGGCTGTGGCGGAGATAGGACTTTTGAAGGTGATGGTGATTTCCGCCGCCAGTGTGCTGGAGTGAAGTTAATCCGGTGTCTTCTATTGTCGAGGGATGACGGATAAAATGCATGATAATCCCCATTTTTTGCTACCCAAAGATGATGCCTTTTTTCATGAAGTCAGCAAATTTAAGCCACAAAAATTTATCATTGATTAGAGGCCATCACTATTAAGATATTTAATATGATTTTTTTTGTCAGAATAATACGAGACAATTTGGACCCAGTCAACGTGATACGGACAACTTGTGTAGTGGGGAAACTAGGATAACACAGGAAATCAAAAAATGGTTTATCCACTGCCCCCGTGTAGACGGTGATGATCCTCTACAAGGGATTACAAATACCATAAAATATGCAATATTCTTCTAATGCAAGACTGCAAATATAGCGTCAGCTGTAATAAAAAATGTGAAGGAGAGCCTCCGCTAATGGAGGGAGAGTGACTATCGGAAACAGTAGCCCTTCGAGTTTTCAATTTTTTTAAAATGCTATTTTGATGTTTTGCATTACTGATCATCTGAGAATTTATACATACTTTAAATTATACGTGTTTTCTAATTATGCTCCTCTTTGACTAAATCCTCATTGCGCCCTTGACAAGTTGACGCGGGATAAATTGGTGGGGGATAGAGTGGTTTCACTCCAAACGAAGCATATCATTTGCAAATCAGTTTCTATAGTACCATTTTTCTTTAACATTCCATAAATAAGTTGTTGAATATGATGAGAGAAGTCGAACTACAACCTTAAACTCTTGCTTCTTGAAAATTTGTCATCAATGACTGATGTTTACTTGCTTAAGGCAATTATTAAGAATCAAAGCAAGCTTCGTTTGCCCACTCAACTGAGTTTTTCCTTGACAAGCCTTTAATTTTGATGTCCGTAATTGAAGAACACTCATCAGAAGCATAAAGACACAGAATTTCATACAAGGAACCCTTCAAAGTCATCAGGGCATGGGCACACACGTTTATTAAGAAAACCTTAGTTTACAAATTGATGGAAATGATCTTTTCGATGGTAATTATTGGGTACATACACAGACATATGCCGGGGAAAAAACAGAGAGAGAAAATAGTTGAATATGCTATATACAAATGAGCAAGAGTCAGAGACATATCCCTGTCGAGATTTTCAATTTGTCTGGAGGATTCTGCCATGGTTCTCTTCCTCAGCAACTGCCAACGAAAAGAAAAAAACTCATAAATGCAATCCTGTAGTAGCAATATGATATTAGGCATGAAACTGCGGAATAGATCATCATAATATTACCTTGCTGAACGTTGCTAGATAGTACATGATTTTGAGACGAGGCACGTAAGGTTGGACTTCTGACAGAATATTGCGGTGGTTCCTCATTTCGGAGCAATGAGGTAACAGCTTCTCTCACCTTCTCCATGACGCCCACATCACCGGGAGTTCTCCTAGGACTCATTGCGTCCGATATCACTTGAGACAGAGCTTTCTCATCTTCCCCTGGCTCCAACTTATTCTTGAAATACTCTCTCACCGATACACCCTTGTCCCATGTTTGGTCGCCGGGGCCGGCCGTGGCATTCTTCATATTCAGCGTAGAAGACGCGGATGGTGATGATTTGCGCGGAGTCGATGGGGCTGATGAAAAGCGTGGAGCCTTTGACGCAACCGGAGAAAGTTTGGAGGCCGTCTTGGCGGGAGGAGTCAGCGGATTCGTCGTAGTCACCGACAAGGGAGATTTACGAGATGGTGCTGGGGTCAGTGATGGGGTTTGAGTATCTAAGTGTTTCGAAACCGTGAGGCCTTGCATTTTAGAGGAAATACAAAGGCCTGTGTCTGATGATGCTTTCGTATATGCTGGTGCGAGTTTCTCAGCTGCATTCCCGGTCATTGTCTTGTTTGAAGCAAGAGAACTTGTGGACGCTGCAAGATGATGATGATGATGAGTTGTTCTCTTTGACTCCGTACAGCCGCTGAGCGGCTTTTGACGATCCATTTCACCTCTGGATTTTAAAGGGTTATGCAAAACATGGTTCTCGGCGATTACAGGAGTCGCTCTTGGATGCTGCCTGGCGTTTTCTTTGTATGCTTCGGGTGCCAGCTCCGATTCGTACACTGAAATATACGACGCGCGTGACGGAAAAGAAAGAATGACAGAAGAAACGATGGAGGAAATAAAGGACGCAAATTAGAGAAATTACTTGGAGCTCCAAGGTATTCCGCATCTTCCTCCTCCTCCTCCTCCTCATCTTCTGCGGAAACGCCCCAAGCGGGGGTAATATTACCGTCGTCGTGCTTTTTCTTGCTGAGACTGTGGCGTAATTTCTTGGCCTTCTCCTTCACTTTGGAGAGCACAGATTTCTTCTGAGGGGCTCCGTTGTCGTCTTCTGATAAAGGGGAAATGGGGCTGTTGGAGGTGGGCGAGCCCTTTGAGAATTCACCACCTGAAACTTGAATGAAAAGCACAATCTTAAATGGGATAGCTCCTTGAAAAAATAAACACAAGAGCTTGCTTACAGAATCCATTATGACTGCATTTTTGCATGCCACACAATTGGTGACGGCGGGTTTAATTTGTACCTATAGTAACTACAATGCACGACATGAAATTTGCAGAAGGCGAAGGGATTCGATTACCTCGAAGGGCTTTTTCCACGGTGGGAGAGGTGAGAGATCTGGAGGCATTTACTTGTCTGGGGGGGAAGCGCTCGAGTTGAGCCATTCGGGGAGATTAATTCATTCAGGAAATAGCAGTAGCAGTTGGGATTAAGCAAAAGCTGAGAACGTTTAATATAATACCTGGGGTTTGTGTGGGAGGATGAAATTGAAGCCAACAAAAAATGTAGCGTCCTCCAGCAGTTTGCTTCCGTTGTTTGCCGCTTGTTTGCCGCTGTGCGCATTGGTCGCAGAAATCAATACTTACCGTTGACACCCATACGTACGTGGATTTACCTCGCAATCACTTTCGTTACCTTCCTCTTATAGTATTTGACCAGGCATCGCCTTCTAAAAACGGGTTACTTAATCCTCTCTTCTTTATCCTCTTCCACTCTTCATTGTCATCAGATATGCATTTTATCAAACCGCAAATTATCTTAATTCTATGCTAAAGCAAAATTATTTAATTACATCATCATTTTCAGATTTGAGAATGAACCACTTCGTTTATTTAGCACCTGAATAGATTTACCTGACTACTAACTAATTAAGTATCATTATATAAGATATGGTTTGCAGTACAAATTGTAAACTAAAACTTATAGCAATGACCGATGTAGTACAGTGGGATGTGAGATACAACCGCTTGATTTTAACATCCCAGATGTATTGTTAGCAGTATTCATTTGCCTTACGGAAGATCCTGATCACCTTACCGGCAGACGGTGGATTCCACGCTTAATTAACATTATATATTAAAATATGTGTAAATGTCAACCGTGATGTATATTATAATATAGCGATTTAAATCATAAAAAGCCTGGGTTCTGAGTTTGCTTTGAGGGTAGTATATTTCCTACACTTGCTGCCGTGCTGATGGAGGTTTCGATAGGATTTAAGCTTAACTCGTGTAATTTTGAGCAAACAGAGGAACTTCTTTCTTGGGCCTGTAGTCCCATCTGATTGCAAAATACTTTATATGTGCGTGTATGATGTGATATACTAGATTTAGTTTTAGTACAAGTTAGGTGGTATATGCGTGCGTAAAGGCACTTCAATTCCAGAGTTGCAAAGAATTTAACCACTTATAGAGGAGCATGCAACCACTGGATGAGAACACTGCAGTTAAACTTAAACGCGTTGCCCAAAACTATTGGAGGGTGTTGTGTCGTGACATTACATTAAATCTCACCAATGTCATTTTGAGCAGCCACCGCGGTGGTGTTTGGACATGATTGGTAGGAAGAGAATGAATAGGGGTTTGAGCAACAATGTGGAACCTGGCGCGGTCTCATTTCTTTTGATGGTGACCAAAGATTTGATAGTAACGGCACCGGAAGCGGTCCTATGAAGAAGTCACTATCAGGACGGCGGGACGCTAATAATGGAATGTCGATTGTTATGGTGTGCTGGAATTTTCTCAAGTATGATAGTAAATTTGTGTGAGTTTTACCTTAGTAGAAAATTGAGAAGGAAAAAAAGAAGTAGAAAGCTGGGGTAATGTTGTGGCCGGCTTTTCATGAAACAGGGAATAATAATTTAAAGAGAAATGATTCATGTATTGATCTCATGCCTTTGGACTAATGGTAATAATTAAATATATATACTATTCCTTTCGATTTTATTTATAATACCTTGGCCAAAATACACATAACTCCTCTCAACTTTAGGTGAATTGCATAAAAACCCCTCAACTTCAAATGTTCAAATCCCACACCCTCAACTTTCATATTGTGACTATAAGCCCCCTACCGTTAAAATGGCTATTAAATCCAACAGAGTGAATGCCATGTCAGCTTATTAAAAATTATGTAGCAAATGAGATGTAATTTTTATTATCTTATTTATTTATTTTAGGTTAGAGTCAACAATTGTAGTAAAGGGTATTTTCGCCATTCAACATGATATTAATCCCTAGCACAACTCTCCCAAATTCAGTAGTCGTCCTGCTCTAACAGCCTCTCGCTACTTGCAAGTCTTCTATACCATCTCTACTCTATCAATGATGCTTACTTCATCTTCTAACCATGATCTTCGTTCAAATTTATCCTCATGCATCCCATTCTATTATCTTCTTAATTAAATCTTGGTAATGGTGTTCTTTTTTTTTTTTTTAAACTGATACAAGGGACAAGAAAATAGCACTACTATGTTTTCAGAAGCTCTCTGATAAACTCCTGGACTGACTCCAAGCCAATGTTTTGGAGTCCAACTCCATTGTTGAGAGCATTACAGTCATCGTGTCTGCCATTTGATTTTCCTGCTTAGTATCAGTATTCTACCATTGATTTTCTAGCTTAAACGGCATTGTTCCAGGATAGATATCTCATCATCTACATAATCCCGAGATTTTTGCACAAATGCATCATCTTCACGATGATTGTGGAAATATGAATATTTTCCTATCAACTCCCTACAAAACAGTGTTAACTGGAAAACCCAATATCATATTTTCCGTGGCACTTTTGCAAAGAATCATCTTTAGGCCGAACTCTTTCAACAAAAGCATTGGTAATTTCTATCTTTCACTTCCACGCAAGGCGCCCTCTCGCACATGTTGAAATAAAGGTTCTAAATTTAAATAAATAATGTGATGAAGATAGGAAAATTAATGATGACTTTTTGGAATGAGAAAGAAGATCAGAAAATTTGAGAAAACGGTGCCGACAAGGAGGCGGACTTGCAAGACGAAAAGTGAAGATAATGCAATCATTAACCAAACAAGCTCAAAATTGGGGGGAAAAATTCCAGAAGGAAAAAGGTAATGAAGATGATTTTTGAAACAATGAAGATGATTAGAGAATGGATCAAAGGTTGGGAAGGGAGAGGACTTACAAGTTGCAGAATTAGGAGAGGCTGAGAAAGGGAGACAATGATGAAACCTAAACACTAGGAATTATTATAGTTAAATCACCGAAATGCCCTCTATTATAATTATGAGTTTAAACTCAAAATAAATAAACAAAGTAATAAAAATTACATGTCATTTGCCACATAATTTTTAATAAGCTGGCATGTCATTCACTCTGTTAGATTTAACGGCCATTTTAACGACAGGGGGCTCATGGTCACAATCTGAAAGTTGAGGGTGTAGAATTTAAATTTTTAAAGTTGAGGGGGTTTTATGCTACTTACCCAAAGTCGAGGGTAGTCATGTGTATTTTGGCCTAATACCTTGTTTATAAAAAATTTTATTTATAGTCTCATAAATTATAAACAAATTTTTATAATTAAGATTAAGAGGTAGTATTTACTAAGAGTGGTTTTTAGAAATTGTTAGCCATTTATGTTATCACGCGGCATTAGCAGGTCTCATCCGCTGGCTTCTCACGTTCTTTGCGAAATACTACTTCTGGTATTTAATATAAAGTTTTATTAGGTTTTTATTTTGATTTTAAATATAAGATCTTAATTTGTTTTGTTTTTATTATTTATGTTTTTTTTAAAATAATCATTCTTCTAATTAGTACACTTAATTAGTAAAAATATTTTAAATTTTTTAAAATTATCGGAGGTAGTTCGAGTGACTGAGTGAGTGAAGAAGAGGACAAGTCCTACCCAAGTAACAGTCGAGGGAGAAGAAAACCCATCAAAAACCCTTATCCCCTCCTGCTGCCAAACCCCATCGTATCCGTCCCGATGTCCTCCTCCTTCTCTGCTACCCAGCACTTGAGTGCTACGCTCTCCGCCCCTCTCCCTCGTCGCCGCAACAATTCCCCTCGACCCTCCTCCCTCAAATGTCATCTCTCCTCTTCCCACGATTCTGATACCTCTAATCACGCCCTCTTCAAAACCCTCCCCAAGACCCTCGCCCTCTCTTCCGCCGCCGCCGCCCTCCTCTTCAGCTCCACCGGCCTCCCGCTCCTCCTCTCCAATGGATCCGGAGATTTCGGCGGCGGCGGTGCTAATGGCCTGGGTGGTGGCGGGGGCGGGGGCGGATGGAACTGGTTCGGCGGCACCGGCGGAGATGGGAATGGGGGGTTCTTCTCTAGACTTTTCTCCCCGGCAGATGCTATTGCCGATGAATCCCCTTCTCAGGAGTGGGATTCCCATGGGCTGCCGGCCAACATTGTTGTTCAACTCAATAAGCTCAGTGGATTTAAAAAGTATAAAATTTCAGAGATTCTATTCTTCGATCGGAGGAGATGGAAAACAGTGGGCACCGAAGATTCCTTCTTCGAGATGGTTTCACTGCGTCCCGGTGGCGTATACACCAAGGCCCAGCTTCAGAAGGAGCTTGAGACCCTGGCTACCTGCGGAATGTTCGAGAAGGTAGATATGGAAGGCAAAACTAACGCCGATGGAACCATCGGAATTACAATATCTTTCACCGAGAGCACGTGGCAGTCAGCCGATCGGTTCCGCTGCATTAATGTGGGCTTGATGCAGCAGTCGAAGCCCATTGAGATGGACGCGGACATGACTGATAAGGAAAAGCTGGAGTACTTTAGAAGTCAGGAGGAGGACTACAAGAGGAGAATTCAGAGGGCAAGGGCGTGTCTTCTGCCGATGCCTGTGCACATGGAGATTATGCAGATGCTGAAGGAGCAAGGAAAGTGAGTGCCAGGCTATTGCAGAAGATAAGGGATCGGGTCCAGAAGTGGTATCAGGATGAAGGCTATGCATGCGCACAGGTGGTTAATTTTGGGAACCTGAACACGAAGGAGGTCGTCTGTGAGGTTGTAGAAGGGGATATCACCCAATTGGTCATTCAATTCCAGGATAAGCTTGGCAATGTTGTTGAAGGTAACACTGATGTCGCGGTGGTCGAAAGAGAACTGCCGAAACAGGTACATATGGTTATGTTACATTGCAGGTTGTGCCGTTTTTCCATTTCATTTGTTTCGAGTTTTGATAATCAATACCGACTGCCGCCAGAAAATGATCTTTCAGGCAAACACATCATGGCATTTGTTTCTTGTGTCAAATTTCTAGGCGTTGGTGTTATTGACTTTTGCGCTTGGTTTTTGGTCTTTACCTTGTTCATCGGTTGTTGACTACTTAGTGGATATTTGTATGGATAACAGCTACGCCCAGGTTACATTTTCAACATCGAGGCAGGGAAGCAAGCTTTAAGAAACATCAACTCCCTTGCTCTGTTTTCAAACATTGAAGTGAATCCACGGCCTGATGAGAAGAATGAGGGAGGAATTATCGTTGAGATTAAGCTTAAAGAATTAGAACAGAAGACAGCAGAAGTCAGTACTGAGTGGAGTATTGTCCCTGGACGAGGAGGACGTCCTACATTGGTACTCATGTCTAACTAAAAATTTACTTTGTCATCGGCCATCAGTTTTTGTTCATTAGTTGATCTCATGTATTTATATTCACTGTCTGTGTAGGCATCACTGCAGCCAGGAGGCACTGTTACCTTTGAACACCGGAATTTGCAAGGATTGAATAGATCTCTTATTGGTTCGGTGACAACTAGTAATTTCTTCAATCCTCAGGTTGTCTTTCACTAGACTATTGACTTCATGTCATTTTATTCTAGGAATAGTTTGGTATGTCACCAACATGGTTATTATTAATATCAACTATCTTAAATCGGCGCTCATGTTTTTCCCTTAGGATGATTTGGCATTTAAGCTTGAGTATGCACATCCGTATTTGGACGGTGTATATAATCCAAGTAACCGTACTCTTCGTGTAAGCTGCTTCAACAGTCGAAAGCTGAGTCCTGTATTCACTGGAGGGCCAGGGGTTGATGAAGTACCCCCAATATGGGTTGATCGTGCTGGTGTCAAAGCCAATATCACTGAGGTAATCTTGCTGATGGTTCAGGCAATTGGTCGTTTTAAATCCCTTTCCTTTAATTTTGTGCTCTTTATCTTATTATTTTTTTTCAACCTCATGTGCAAAACAGAATTTCACACGTCAGAGTAAATTTACTTATGGACTTGTGATGGAAGAGATAACAACTCGTGATGAAAGTAGTCATATCTGTGCAAATGGTCAACGAGTATTGCCTAGTGGAGGAATTAGTGCTGATGGACCTCCAACCACCCTCAGTGGCACTGGCGTTGATCGGATGGCATTTTTACAGGCCAATATTACGCGTGATAACACAAAGTTTGTGAATGGAACTATCGTTGGAGACCGAAATGTGTTCCAGGTGAGTGTACATTTACTTTTGGTGTTATCAACATGGGCTCACTACACTGTCAGCTTTGTGGTTGGTGGGCCTGAACCCCACAACAAAAAAGAAAAGAAAAGAAACTAAAAGAATTATTGCCTGGCAAAAGAACCATTCTTGAAAGGCCAGCACTTTGTTTTGCTAAGAATCTGAATCTACTGTTTATTGATGGTGGTAGAAGAGGAAATTCCCTTTCCCAATTAGATCAAATGCTGTTAGACCGAAGGGCATATAAAAATTAAAGCAATGATGAGTAAGTGGTTCACTATCTTCCAGGTTGAGTTATACATGTACTCATAAGTAATTTAAGACATAGCAGGTCCATTCCAGGAATCAAAACAATGATAGTGAAGATTCCGTACATTGCTTTTAAAAAAAAAAAAAATTTCTGGGGTGGTGGGACAAAAGCAATGTTTGGTATACTATTCTAGCGTGATGGGTTGATGACTTGATGGCATTGCTGGAGTTTGCGGGGATGATCATCTGGAGATGATTTTTATCGTTTTGGTTAACATTAGAGCTCTGAGAGACTCTTGAAACGGTGACTGAGTTGAACCTAATTGTAGATACTGTAGTGAATGGTAATGTTGGTCAAATTAAGCGGATGAACTGGTCATCTTGCAATTATCATACGAGCAAGAAATGAGTGTTCCCTGAATTTGTAGTCTTAAAGTATGCCGTAGTTATGTTATCTGCTGACACAGCTATGTCCTATGCAAATGTCAGGTGGATCAAGGCCTTGGGATTGGCAGCAATTTCCCATTCTTTAATCGTCACCAGCTAACTGTGACACGATTTATCCAGTTGATGTCGGTGGAGGAAGGTGCTGGCAAAGCACCACCGCCAGTGCTTGTTCTCCATAGTCATTATGGTGGTTGTGTAGGCGATCTTCCTAGTTACGATGCTTTTACTCTTGGAGGTCCCTATTCTGTGAGGGGTTACAACATGGGTGAGCTTGGCGCAGCCAGAAACATCCTTGAGGTAGGAGTGATTGGGACGTATCATGGTTTTGTTTGTTTGTTTGTTTGTTTTTTAGCATCATGAAGATTGAGAGATTTCATGGTAGTTAGTTTTCCTTTTTTTTTGACTAGCCAGTCATTGAGCAGCGAGCTGATCTCTTTCTTTTACAGCTTGCCGCCGAGTTACGGATACCTATCAAAGGTACCCATGTGTATGCCTTTGCAGAACATGGAAATGATCTTGGAAGTTCGAAGAACGTCAAAGGGAATCCCACAGAAGTGTACAGGCGAATGGGACACGGATCATCCTACGGAGTTGGTCTCAAGCTTGGTCTGGTTAGAGCAGAATACGCCGTTGACCACAACTCAGGAACTGGTGCATTATTCTTCCGTTTTGGAGAGAGATTTTGAGCGGAAATTAGTCAATTAAATGGTATATCGCTAAAAATAATAGGTTTTGTCATGGTTTGCGGGAGAACTTTTGCAACCATCCTTTGATGATTGGGCAAAAGCTTGTGGATATTCTGAGGTCATCGTGCTAGCACTGAACTCGTTTTTCCCTGATTTTTTGGTTTCCCCCGAAAATTTAGTATAGAATTTATGTGAAAATGTTGTGACAGATTATATCTTGTTGGTTATTGTTATTATTTTCATGTATTTAATCTATTTCTGCTGCCAAAATAAATGCCCAATTTATGAAAAATTAACCAAACTTGGTTCAGACCAAAATAAACCACCCGAACTTGTTGACTTAGCGGTCAGTATGGTGGGGGTGAATATTTGTCGATTTATTAGCATCTCAGGCTGGAAACAAAACACGTGTATACCGCAAAATCAATCACCAAAATTCAACCCAAAAAAAGGGCATTGCACGCAAATGTGTAATGGCACTTACTGCATTGTTCTAGTGGCCAATTAATTTTCCTGCATAAAAGAGGTGGTGAGTTCTGTCTCCTACAGAGCAAGTTTAGTCCCCATTTCAATTCAAAAAATAAAAAAATTTCAAGACAAGTTAGCTAAATGAGTGAACCATCAACGACATCTCAAATGTTCAAGATTTTTTTAGTGACAGTTTTTCATTCAGTGAAGGGCTTCTCCGACTTGCATCCCATGGACTGGGGATAATGTAGGATATAGCTTTGTTTTATGTAAAAACATTTGTTTTTTATTCCTGTGAAATTTATATCTAATAATTGAATATCCTACATCATGGAGTCAACCAGCAATAAAAGTAAACTTATCTCGGCTACAAACCTAATTCCTTTTTTAACTGAGCAAGAGTAGCTTCTATTTCATCAAGGTTATCCTTGATGCTGCTGTTCCCCTTGCCACTTTCATCTTGAGGGCCACTGCCAGCAGAAGTACGAGAAGGATTTCCTCCCCGAGGCTTTTGATAATTATCACCCGAATCAACTTCCGGATCAACTATATCAAGTTCTTTCTCCAGAAACTCCACAAATTCTTCTCCTATTTCCTGCAACGTAAAATCCCATATAATCAGTTTCCAATGTTGATCACTGTTGTTAACCACAGTTTCAAAAGACGAGGATCAGCCATCAAGAATCAAGAACTAAATTACTAAATAGACTCTGCACGAATAAGAACCACCCCCCCCCCCGGGGGGGGGGGGCCTTCTCTCTTGTTCAGGCAACTATAGAAGCTCAGAAGCCAAGCATCGTGTGGGAATAAGAACACAACACAGGGGGGGGGGGGGAGGCGAATTCTTACCGCCAATTCCTCCCATAGGCTTTTCGGCTTTCCTTGTGAAGTAGAGTTTGCTTCCCAGTTCCTGAATTCTTCTTGAACATCTTTGAAAAACTCCCCTGTAATTACATCAGCCAAATTATACAAGGTAATAACAATTTAGTAGATATTCTCCTCTCCGCCTATTCACAGACCTGCGTGGAAATAAAATGCGTGGAAAAACAAAATTCATGTTCAAAAGCATTTGTAAACATGCAAGTTAAACTTATGGTCGATACGATGTCTGAGAGTACACATCTACCTATTGTTATTTGAACATCCCTCAAAAAATTACCTGCAGCACAAAGATGTTAACCATAAGACAGACATCCAATCCAATCAGGAAGCTTATAAAGGATTGTAAAATTACTTTTCAACAGTTGGAGGGAAAGATATAGTATAAGAATATGCAAGGCAAGAACAAATTATAACTGAGGTCCGTGGATGTAAAACCAACATGTTCAACAGGCATCTTTCCAGAAAAATGGGAAAGGGATAGGGAATTGGCAAAAATTATCCAGTACAAACTAACAAAACATAGCAATCAAGATTCCATATGCTTCCCGACAACTTTTGCCCTGTGAATTAAGTACGTGAATTTGTGATTCCCGGAACCAGTATGGTCCACAGTTGCAAAGGCAACCGCGTAGATATTTATCCAGTATTGGAAAGAGCTCTTTACCTAATCCATAAAATTCTTCTTCTACTTTTGCATCACCACTTTGGCTTCTCTGAGAGGAATAATAAGAATCGGAACCACCATTTCCAGAATCAAATTTTCTACGCGAAGTAGAATTTATCAATGTATTGTATGCGTGTTTTATCCTCATAAACTTCTCCTGCGCCTTGTCCTGTGAAGACAAGATGAAAAATACTTACTTCAATGTATGGCTCAAAGTAGTACAAGTAGACAGGGTAGTAAAATCCATTAAATAGACCAGTAAGATTCAAATCTAGTAGCGCCTGCATCTTGCTGCTCTTACTCCCCATGTCTTTGTCCATTTTAAGTTCTTATTCGCGACAGAAAGCAATCCATTGTTTGTTAGGAGCAATTGTTGCTGCTACTTCCCATGTTCCTCTTCTTTTCGGGAACCTTTTATCAGTATTGTGAATCACATGAACAGTGCACTTCGCAGCATCTTACGACCATTAAAGGGCCACTACCCTTTCTAATAATTCTACACTTCCTTCTTGTGTGAATTTGCATGTTCTTTTTCTACGTTCGATTTAATTCCCAACTTTATTCTCTTACATCTCAACCGTATAATACATAATATTTGCCTCCCCTTGCTTTAATGCAGAAAAGGGAAGAAAAGATTTGATTTTTCCTATTGCTAATTAAAGAGGACTAATTTCCACCTAAAATTACACAATATTGATGTATTCTTAAGCGACACCTAAAAGGATTGAACACAACATTTGGGAAGGATCCAAACATACCAATTACCTCTTTATTGACATCAGGATGATACTTAAGAGCAAGCTTTCTGTATGCCCTTTTGATCTCATCTGCTGTAGCTGATGGAGATACGCCCAAAACTTCGTAAGGAGACTCCCGACGGCTGGCTTTCAGAAGAATGATGCTACCTCTTGTATGCTTATAGTTCCAGCAGGAAGGAAAAACGGATTCCGACTGGAATAGGACGGGATTAAAATCACGTCGACGACCGAATGCACTATTGGGTAAGGAAGAATTAGCTAGGTTTTGCAGGAGCAAGGAAGGTCCGATGGATCTAAAACACAGTTTAGCCCGGTAAAGGAAATTGTTTCCAGTTAGAGGCAGAGCAAATCCATACATGTTAATCAAGTTACCAGAAATCGTTGGGCTGAGATTTCCAACGAAGCGGATCTTATCCTCCGAACTCCTATCCTCCCGAGAGCGCTCGTCATCGCGCAAATCTGTCCGTTGAAACGATCCAACGATCCTCACGCAGCCACGTTGAAAGAAGACAGCGTCTGTATATTACTATGCTGCGCACACTCATCAAAAGCGCTCATTTTTTAAGATTCCTCGGACATGGTTCAATTTCAATACCAGCAGAGATCGACGCTTCCAACAGAAGCTAATGTCTATGCCCAAGTGATTGACATTTACGCTCGTGATAGAGCTGTGCACTTGGGCAGGAAACTTCATGCGCACCTAATCATAAACGGTTTCGCTCGTTTTGCAGTCATTGCATCGAAGCTCATAACATTGTACATCGAGTGTGGGACACTGTCCCTTGCACGCAAGTTGTTCGAAAAAATTCCGGCAACAAATGTTCGACGCTGGATCGCTCTTATTGGAGCCTCTGCTCGCTGTGGCTTCCATAAGGAGGCTCTGAGTGTGTTCTCTGAAATGCAAACGGAAGGGCTGAAACCCAACGTATTCGTGATGCCCAGCGTTCTCAAAGCTTGTGGGCACCTTTGCGATCTCAAGACCGGAGAGAAAATGCATGGCGTGATTTTGAAATGTTCGTTCGAGCTCGATTCTTTTGTCAGCAGTGCTCTAATTGATATGTACTCAAAATGCGCAAGAGTTGAAGAAGCGCGGAAAGTATTCGACGGGATGTTAGAGAAAGATTTAGTGGCGCTAAATGCTATTGTGTCTGGCTATGCACAACAAGGGCTTGCCAAGGACGCACTGATTTTGGTGGAAAGCATGAGAATGATGGGCACGAAGCCAAATGTGATAACTTGGAATACATTGATTGCTGGATTTTCTAAAGAAGGTGACCGAGCAACGGTGTCAGAGCTTTTCAGGGTGATGACCGCCAATGGTTTTGAGCCTGATGTGATATCATGGACTTCTTTAATATCTGGCTTTGTGCAGAATTTTCGACATGAGGAAGCGTTTCATACGTTTAAACAGATGTTGGGTCATGGATTCTGCCCAACTTCGGCTACTATTAGCAGTCTTCTACCTGCATGTGCTACTGCAGCAAAAGTGAGGCGTGGAAAGGAGCTTCACAGCTACGCGCTGGTGATTGGTGTTGGGGAAGATATATATGTAAGGAGTGCTCTTGTTGATATGTATGCAAAATGTGGGTTCATATATGAGGCAGGGACCATATTTTATCAGATGCCCGTGAAGAACACGGTTACGTTGAACTCAATGATCTTCGGTTATGCAAATCATGGGTACTTTGACAAGGCAATCGAGTTGTTCAGAGAGACAGAAGGGGGAGGCAAGCTTGATCATCTAACTTTCACGGCAGTTCTAACTGCGTGCTGTCACGCGGGAGATATTGAACTTGGGCAAAGTTTGTTCAAGATCATGCAAGAAAAATACGAGATTGATCCACGGCTTGAGCATTACGCATGCATGGTGGATCTTCTAGGTCGGGCTGGAAAACTTGACGAAGCATATGCGATGATCAAGGCAATGCCCATTGAACCTGATTTATTTGTGTGGGGTGCCCTACTGGCTGCTTGTAGGAATCATGGACATGAGGATCTTGCAGAAGAGGCAGTCAAGCATTTGCTGGAATTGGAGCCTGAGAGTGCCGGGAATCGTCTTCTATTGTCAAGCTTATACGCTGATGCTGGTGAATGGGGAAAGGTCGAGAGGGTGAAGAAAATGTTGAAGAGAAGGAAATCGAGAAAATTTACCGGTTGCAGTTGGATAAATAGTGTGTACCAATGATAGACGAGTTATGTGCCCCAAAAAAGGAAAAACAGAACAATGATAGATGGGTAAATGATAATATGCTGCATCTCCGTCCGTGGCTAGAAGTGTACGTAAGAGTATGTGCTGGTTCACAAATGGCAGGATGATAACTCTCTGTAGACGTCGTCCAAGGCAACAAGTTGATCCAGATTCGTGAGATCCACCATTGGACCTAAAATATATCATACACGGAACAGACATGGTGAGTTTCAACTAGATTCCCGTTCATCAACTGATCAGAGAGCTTCCTATTGTAGACATCAGACGACATCATTTCCTTCGTTCTTCCCTAACACTATATGTGATGAAAAGTTGAAAACTGGAGAGGACTTCACTAGACATTCTTCAATACGAAGCAAGCCTTATCTGCAATCAGAAGGGGTTAGAATATCCAGTTTCATTCATATTTGGAAATGTTAAAGAGTGCTACAAGGGCCTTCCGCGTGCGCAACCTGACACAGATAACGCACTGATCACTATTGAAGTTAGTTTGAAAGTTGCACTAGCAAAAACAAAACTCTGGCTGCATCTTTTCAAATAAGGATCTTTCATATTCTGATATATAATGCTTTTTTTTTGGCTTCCCAACATCTTTTGATCATGTGATTGCTCTTATTTATGGTTTTTACTGTTGTTTTGTTATCAAATAGGAATTGAAACTCATTTCTCATGCCATCTTTTTTCAGTGAAAATATCTTCTTTTTTTTGTCTAAAAAACTCATTTCCCATATCGAAAGAATATGAACGGGGTAATATCTATGTACTAATTAACTCCATACTTGATATGAAATTTAATGGATTAATTTGAAAATTAAAATAATTAGTTAAGTTAATTGTTTGTAGTAAATAAATATTACTTTTCCTAAATTACCCTTATTAATTATGTGTGTTACCTATTAATAGTAATTTCTTAACATATATAACTACTATAAGAATTATTTGAGAATAAAATGGATAAATATGATAAACAAAATGGATTATGACCTTATATTTAGAATCAAACTAAAAGTCAAATTAACTCTTATATTAAGAATTGGAGGTAATATTTTATAGCATCCTAATATTATAATATTGCACTCTCTAAATAAGTTTTTTCTTTCCCATCAATATCAATGTTGTATTGACTTTAAGAGTGCACCTGGTATTAGGGAAATGGACTGGAGGAGAGGATAAAAAAATTTTTTTAATAAGCTCAATTTAAAAAAGAGAGAAAATGAGATTAAAAACTTTTAAATAATTGTTATTACTTTTTTATACCACTTCTTCATTGTATTAAAATTTTATATCCAAACTTTTTCAATTTTTTAAACGAAGTTTTTTGAAATTTTTCCTCCTTCTCTCCCTTCCATTTCTCTCTCATACCAAATATTACATAAGCATTCGCTTTCAGTGACGTACATCACTTACTTCATACCCCTATATTATTTCTTTCTTTTTCTCCCCCCTTTCTTGGGTGCAAGAATGACGCTTAGCAGTCCAAGAAAAACTAAAAACCAATAGAGACACTGACCGCCTCTTTCAAAGGACACACCCTATTCATCAGCTAATAATTATCACCTCCCCCGACTTCCGTCCCCGTGCCGTGGGGAAGAAGCCTAGTGGCTACTGGCTAGTGATATCAGATGGAAGTTTAACGTTAGCAGCTTCCAACCACGCAAATCGCAACTTCCCACCATGGCGCAATCGATATGGCAGCATTATTCATTATTTTCAATTGATTTACGACTTTGGAGCGACCAAGAATTCAGGATTATAAAGAGAGAGAATCTTGAGAGAAATGCAGCTAACGATCGAAGAAAAACGTCGGAAACAGGGAAGAGCCCGAGGGTGCAAAATGATCATGACGTGGCTTGGATTTGGAAGACGCAAACAATCCCCCAAAAGCCGACTAAGGCCAAGTCAAATTCACACTGAAATTGCTGAATTTCTTTCCGCAAACCTCAGCCCGCTTCTGTAAGCACATTGCTTCTTGGTTCGAGATTTCCGATGAGCCAGTAGTTCCATCTCTATTCCTTTCATTTCAGGTTAAGTGATCTCTCTATATAAAGCGCGTTGCTGAGATCAGTTACTAATTTGTTGGAAGACTGAGTGTTCGAAATTTATTGGCGAGTGTCTCTCCGCGAACAGAACATGATAAAAGCACTTCGACACCATGAGATTCACCTCAAGGAAGAAAATAGTATTTGGAGCAGACACGCGGCATAAAACCGAAGCGGCCCCCTAAAAAACCGATTGTTTACCCGAATTCAAAAGAGTCGATATCTCTGCTTTGTTGACTTTTCTTTTTTCATCAAAATAAGGAGTCGGGCGGTACTTCAGATCTATATATATATGTATGTATATATTTTCATCAATTCGATGGATGTAAGAAATAAGAGGACACATCTTGGTCAAAAAAAAAAAGAAATAAGAGGACACAGTCAATAAGGCCGCCAAACAAGCATAACAAGAAAAATCCTTCCTCAATTAATGGGCCTAAACATGAACAGCTCTCCACAAGGCAACATTTTTGTACAGTCACGTCAACTTAAAAAACCTAGCTCAGCATCTTTATAATCTCTACAACCTTAAAAGTCCTTCGTATAGTTATTTGATCTACTCTGCAGGCGCATCAGCTGTGTTCAGGCATCTGGAACCCATTCCGCTTAATTTATACGTATAAACTTAACACTACAAAATGTACAGTTCTTCATTACAACTGACAACTTTATTGCCTATCTCAACAGAAGATAGGTTTTTCATCACCTCTTCTAGATGCAGGAAAAGCCCACACTCGCCCCAGTTAGCTGTACAAACAACCTTCTTTTTATATGCGCCCTAAGGAGGATGAGGAGACTGAGCAGCAATCCTCCTTTCTGCAACAAAAATTACATGTGATGACCAACTTCAACAAGCGTATCATGATCAATGCACATTCTTCATAAGCATGCACCTATATTACACTCATGGATGCAACCATGCTTGTCAGATACCAAGGATGTGTGAATCAGAAATATCATGGAATGAGTAAGTACCTCCAGCAGCAACTAGTTTCTCTACACGTGCAACAATATGCTTTCCATAAGTGTACTTCTTCAAAGCATTCAAATGAACCTTGATTCGCGAAAGAATCAGCTCACGTTGCTGGTCATCACAAGTCTCCAGCACCTTTTGTACAACATAATTTGCAAATTGATCTTTCATCATCGCCTGTAAATTAAAAGAGGAGGAATGCAGTCGATCATTATGCAAGAATTATGAAGAGGTTAAAACATCAATGCAAGAATGACATTGCCACCTTTTCGGTCAAGAGTTAAGGCATGCTAGAGGATTTGAAAAACCAAGGCACATACAATACCCGGGATCACTACTCTAGTAGAAGACTAAAACAAATAATGATTTTAATATGTTTAGAGGGGGAAAACACATTCCTTCATGATAACTACATTTAGGTGTCCATGTTCCAAGATGCAAAAATAAGACCGTCAACTTGCGTCTTTCACAAAACCTCACGTTAGTTACATTAAATTTTCATGCCCCCACGAATGATTAATCTCAACTCTAGTGAAGGAAATATTTGACAAAGAAGGAAAAGAAAGCAGGAGTCCAGGTTTTGCAATGAACTCAAAGCAATGACTTCTTTTTTGTTTCGTTGCGATGGCGCAGACTTCTGGGAGTAAAAGCATGAAGGATGCAAACCCGAAGTGATCATAGGTAAAAGGAGATTCCCAGTAGCAACAGCCAGTGTCTCTCAGATGATTAAAATATGATAATAAGCATTGATTAGTTGCCACAAAGGAAAGAGTAAGGATTCATATATTGTCAAAAAGCAAAACTAAAGGTTCCAAGAAACCTGAAGGGGCTCATTTTCATCCGTGGAGCCAAGCATCTCATTCACTAGTAACTGGCGTTCAGAAGAATCTCCAAATGTCAAACACTTCTCAACGACGTTGGAGGCAAACTTCTGTTGACTCATTTGAACTATCTTGCCAGCTAATTCCTTTATAATCGCTGAACGCTCATGAGGCTTCCCATGTTCTAGCACATGCTGTTACATAGGATAGAGCAAGACAGAATGAAAGATCAGTTCACAAGTATAAACTACAAGATATACAGATGCCAGCTGGAAGTGTTATATTAATAGTTACAGCAGCAAACAGATGCCCAGGCTCCAAATTACAAGACAACAAACCTTAGCACAGAGTGTATAAGAGTAGCACAGCTTGGATGGCATGATATATAACATAAATCAATATATTCAAATTCGATTAAAAAAAACTATAAAAGTAAATTGATAAAAAGCATCCGCTCCAAAGACATTCTTTAAAGGAAAAAAATTAAAAAAAAAAATCATGAAAAAGTGAACAACTTCAACCAGTATAACCCAAAAAAGAAAGGGGGGAATACCACATCTTTTCTCTCAGAACTAAATTGCAGCAGAAAATGACAGGTAAACTACACAAAAGCTAAGAGTTGGATAAGCATCATTTAATTTCCATACCAAATTGCAGCTACTAGTTTAAACTAAAAAAGGTGAGGTAAATAAACCTGAACAACGTAATTGCCATACTGATCCTGAGCTAACATGCTAACAGCTCTCAAAATCTCATCCATAACTTTTTGTTGTGTCTTAGCATCTTTACAGTGCTCCAGTACTCTCTGCCATTTAGAAAAGCATTATTATATGAACAGGGATTTTAAATGCAGAATAATCATAAGAGGAGCAACTTAAATAATCCTGCCTGTATAACCCGGCAACCATATGGATGGGTTGAAAGTGTCACAACTTGATCAAAAAAGGTCGAGACAATGAAGTGAATTGCATCTTCGGGGACATATTCTATACACTTCTGAATGACATGGTTTCCATTCTGATCACGAACACAGCGCATAACATTACCATCAAGCTCTTGAACCATTTTTATCTTCTGATCCAGATCAACAACTTCTATGGCCTAAAGGAGGATGCAGAGTAGGAGAAAGAAAAGGTAAAGTATGAGATATTGAAAACATTAAGGACAATAACCACATGAAAAAAATTTCCATTGCTGATACCCAAGCTGTCAATACCTTTTGGATCACCCGACAACCATACATTTGAAGGCTAAGGGTCAGACGTGGCCAAAAAGCTTGTTAGCTAATTCTCTTCTCTGAGGTGCAAGTCCATGCTCCAAAAAAACTGGAATATACCAGAAATTATTCAAACCACGCACGGTCCATGAATAAGAATAAAAAGAATACAAACAGCATCAGAAAAAGAGAATGAATCTCATCTCACCTTCTGAACCACATAATTACCAAAGACATCAGTCATCAAAGCCAGAGCATGAGGCATAATTTCCTGATAAACCATGTTTTTTTTCTTCTGTAGTTGCTTGTTCCAGTTTTTGCTGGATAAATCGACTCCCATATTGATCCGCACTACTCACAAGGGTAAAATCATTAACTTTAGTTTTAACGGATGAGAATAAAAATTGAAGCATTAAAATTAAAGCATCAAAAGACTTAACAGACAAAATGTATACCTGAACTCAACAACATGACCAGAAATCTCTGAAAGCTCAAAACACTTGGTTTTATTACTTTTGAACTCTTCTAACAAGGAAGAAGCAAAGGTTTCGTCCATGTTGACTCCAGCATCTAGGTGCCATGGTCCCATGACACCCCCAGCTAAATTCCTCATCCCAGAAGCAAACCGCATATTCAGCTCGTTGTGCCTCACAGGACTGCCAGATCCAACTGGAGAAGTGGATACAACTGAGTTTGCCATTGGACTTCCTGGATAAGACAAACCAACACCAAATGCAGGATTTGCATAGTAACCAAGATGATTGGAGCCGCCGGATTATTACCCAGAGGAACATTGTACTGTGACTTCTGAGGTGAGAGCATAGCCCCAAGATAGGCTTTTTGCAGCTCAAGTAAATTCATGTAAGAATTACCCATGTAGTTCCTGTCCATGGAGGGGTCATTCAGAGCAGCAAGTTGAGCTGCAGCATAATCAGAAGTTCTCAAGTACTGAAGATACATAGGATCAACGAAAGGAGCCTGAAGAGCAGCACCCGCAATTTGATTTCCCATTCTACCAAGACTATGTGCATCAGCCGCAGCAACAGCTCCAGAAGCCAAACACCACCAAGAATTCTTGATTCCATTCCAGGTGCTGCCTTGCTGATGCTGCAGCAACATTTTCAAACAGGGGTGGCAGATTACCAGTGCCAAGTTGGTTAGCC